TTAAAATATTTTAAAGTAGTTGTGTATTTAGTGATGTTGATGTGACTTTGTGAGTAAAGCAGTGTTACATTGAACTAAGTGAAAGTTCCAGATCGTGGGAAAAGCAATGAATGTACCATTCACAAGGAATATATATGTAAAATAATAGATTGATATTGAAGGATGACATAAGAATGAAGTACTTCAATTTTAATTTCTAAAATTTTGTTTTAAGGATTTAATTTGGAGAGCTCTGTTGACAAATTAAAATTGATTTTTAATTAATGTTTACAGTTGCAGTTTCTAACAACATAATTTTATGGAATCTTGTTCTGCAGAATTCATCTATATAATTGAATCGAATGTTTCTAGTTTTGGTAATCTCAAGTATATGTCAATCACTTTTTATTTTATTTTTTCCAGGTTTTGTTGCAGGAATGACAAGTAACTTCTAAGGAGAATGTGACAGACTTTTTGCTGTAATTAGTGCTTCTGCAGTAAGGACTAAAAACGCAAGAGCTACCCAAGGGTATCATCCATACAGATTTTAAGCTTTTATTCCTTATAGAAAGAAGGGTGGCTGCAAGTAAAAAAAACCAGGTTGGGCTCACAAAGGGTACAAGAGATAAAATTAAAGAAAAGCATTATAACTTTAAGAAGTATATATTGACTGTTATGACAGGAGATTTAGAATTTTTTAGAAGATCAAGGAAGTTAGTGAAACAGTAAATTAGGACATCAAAAAACATTGGCTGAAAATGTAAATGTTAACAGTATGGGTCACTAGTTAGGCCTTTGTAATGGGCTGTCTTCAAATGTTGTGGAGGTAGTAAATTTAAGTGAGTTTAAGAAAATGCTTGATAATTTTATGGCTTTGATGTTGTTGTTTTTTATTAGGTTTAACCTAAATGGACCAATAGGTCCCTTGTTGTCCCTAAATATTATGTTAATACTTTTAGTTGCTGACGATCATGTATATATATGTATATATATATTGTATTGAGTTCATTTCTCTCATCATCATTCTATTGATTAGTAATAACTTTTATTTATGTGTGTATTAAAACCTTTGTAGTTTCAGCCAGTTATTTAATTAATTGAGTTGTAATAAAAATATGGAACAAAACTTTTATTTTTTAATAACATTAGCATTTGTGACAAAGTATAATAGTTCAGTTTGACATCATTTTAGTGAAATTAATAGCTAATTTATTACTTAACTAAAGATATTTTGGAAAGAACATTATAGAAAACAATCATGATGAAACTTTTCTTTAACTAAGTATATTTTGAATCAACATTTTGGTTTGGTCATGTTCTAAAATAAAGATTTCCAATGAAATCTTTACAAGTAGCATGATTCTTTACAAATCCTCATTTCCTCCAATGCTTAATGGTCTAAGCAGGGAATGAACATGCAAATATTTAGTCGAAGTATGTTGAATTTGAAAAATTACAAAAGTATTATAATCTGAAAACTTTTGGCTGACACTGGTAAATTTAGTATTAATTAGCCATTTCAGTTAGCTTTCACATACCCAAGTAAAATGGGTTAATTCCAAAATGGAAGGAATGTTTAAAAATAGTGTCATCAATAGGTGACTTGCAAATTTTATTTAATCAGAAAAAATTGACTAGAATAAGTGAAGAGTACATGGAATTTACATGCTTTGGCTTGCCACGACTGTGTGAAGGACATAGGTAGTCTCAAGTTCCAACAGCCACCCACTGTCCTGGGGCAGTATCTGCAACTTTTTCTTTTTGAGTGTTGCAAGAGTTTTTATCTTGTATGGTGACATCCATCAACTCTGCTAACGATTTTCTAACCTAAAATGGGAGGAAGAAAACTAACTTAAATATTTTCCCCAGTATCCTGTTGTTGCTCTGTGTGGTTCATAATACATACTCTTAAGATACTAACCCTACTTTGACATCTTAAAATTAAATGTAAATATAGAAAATATATCAATTATAAGTCACTGAAAATTCTGACTTTAGAAAAATTTACAAATTAATAGATCAGTTTGATTGTATGGAAGTTTTGTTGTAATGTTATGAAAACATTTTTGTTACGCCTAAAACTGGAGATAGAACAGGAAGTATTTTTAACATTACACAAATATTTGCATTCTTGAAGTAAAGTGTCTTGAATAAATTTTTCAATGGTGGATTTGGCTGTAAAGATTGTATGAGCAATATAAAATTGAATACAAAGGATATTGTTTTGGAATGTTTAATATCACACTTCTTATCAAGTAAGGTTGGATATATAAGGCTAAAACTATTAAACCAAACCTTTATATAAATGTACATTGAAATCTTTAATTGTCAAATAGAGTTAGTGCAAAGAAAAATACCATTACTAGCTGATTGATCCTATTCTGTAGATTGTCTGTCAACTGAATCACTTCTTCAGTTACTATCTTTGTTTGGCCCAGCTTGTTCTGTTTTTGCTTCAGTCTAAGAAAAAAGATTTACAAGAAATTTATTAGCTCATTTATCCAAGTACTGATAGTCAAGATATGTCTTATTGCAAAAATTGTATATTTTCTATTTAAATAAGGAAAAGGCGTTGATAAAAATGTTTCCTAATAGAACGTCAAGTTAAGCCTATTAATAGTAAAGAATATTAGAATCAAAATTAGATAAGTAGAATGTCTTAATAGCAAGAACGATTGGAAAGGATACTAGAAATTGAATACATTTTTAATTTAAAAAAATGTTAATACTTACTTAGAAAAAGGTTGCAAGTGCTCCCCATTGGTCATCCTACGATGAACCACAGATATCCTGTACATCAGAAATGTTGCAGAAAAGAAAAGCAGCACGAGACTAAAAATGTGATAAAAAAAATATTGGGTACCAAGGATAAATCAACATATCCATGGATGTAGAAATTATGAAGAACTGTTTTAAAATACAGTAAGCCTTTCTGTTCTTCAGTAGTGCTAGATTATTATAATGATTACATCATTTTATTTAAAGTAAATGAAATATACTGCAATTAATAATAATACTATTGCAACTTATATGCTAGAAAAGTAATATATTCCGATTTGATCTATTTCAAAGTTGATACTGGCATGCTAGTCCACATGCTTGAATCCCCATATTATAAAGTGTACAAACTACGTATTTACATCGGCTTCTATACTCGAAATTTTTACTTGTCTGACCCCATTACAAACATGGAAATACAAAAACTAAAAGTCTCAACTTACAGTACAGAGGACACAGCCAACAGTACAGATGTCCGAGGAAGCCTACAGCACAAAAATACACATTTTTGTATATTAAAACAAAACACGTTATATATGGGTGCAGCAATAATATATTTCTTCTTTGCTGCTGTATGGTCAAAAAGTACGTAAAAAGATATTTGACACCATAGCTGCTACAAAAACAAGTGAAAGTGTTAATGCTACATATCAAAGCTGATGGCTACTGTTAATAGAACATTTTCTTAATATGGATTTACATACATGTTCTCGATGAGGATGCGTTTTAACGGTTAATCTGCCTAGATTATTTACGATCAACATTTTACTGAGTATTTTAAACTAAAGATAGGTTACACTTTATATTTACAATGAGATCTCGTAACACGAAATATAGTTTATTAAACGTTTAACGAATATCGACTATCAGTTACGAAAGTTGTTTTTTTTTATCGAAATCTGTTTTCTAGAAATAAAGTAACGATCATGAAACTAGCTTGTATCAAATAGCAATTATACAACAATATTAGAACTATGCAATATTTGTAGCTAATGACAAAACATTGTAAATTTGCTGCTCTGTTACTCTTCTAACAAAGTTCTCTAAAATATGTACGTCAAGAATATAGTGCACAGATTTGTAGTACTATATATGAATAAGCCTACAATTATAATTGGCCTGCGAATTTTGGTTTTAATAACGGATTTTCCATAATTCGGATTCGCAGATTTCGAAAATAATATTCTTTTTTTTTAAAATCACGTAAGGAGATTTTTTACAAATCGGAAATTAAAAAAACACTTAGATCAAATTATTATGTTTGTTAACACAAATACAAAGAAACTGAAGAAATGGGAAGAAGATTGATGTCAAACGAATATGCATCCTTATTGATCCTGATTTTTTTTTTTGTGTGTGTGTGAAATCTACGTCTTTTAGTCTCAAAACTACGTGTTGTGGTCTTTCTTTGTGTGTTGCGTTACGACGTTTTGTGAAAAAAAAATTTAGGTGATGGAGAAAAATGGATATTTTCGGATTCAACGTACAGGAATTATTGTAGAACGTGTAAAATTTTCAAGATAATAAAAACCATCGCATGCCTGAGTTATTATGTCTGTAAACGTTTACGAATTATTTATTTACAAATTATCGGATAATATAAATGTTAGAAAAGAAAAAAAAACAATTGTCCATTGCATAACGCATTTCTTTTGAGTAATTAAATTGAATATAAAGATTGGATAGAAATTAAACTTTTACACAGCCAACTTGTGCAGAAGTTAAAAAAATAACTTGCCATTCAACGATGTGGGGTGCAACGAAGGATTTTAAAGTGTTATGTCAACAAATCTAAAAAAGCGTTTCGGACGGCTAAACATGGACATTCATTATCAGAAATGATACAGTTCAAGAACAATTCTAGGCACGTAGCGCTTTTTATATGTTAAACGAGTGAAATTAAGTGGCGAGACAAAACAGTTCACAATACATATGTAAATGAAATTTAAAAATTCTAACTATTAGTGAATACAGTGTTCGGAAATTTTGTACCGAGTACACAAGTCTCAATTTAAAATAGCATCCGAATACTTACATATTTCTAGCGCTTCGCGAAAATGTAGTTTCTAAATACAGGAATAGTTAAAAAAGCAATTAAGTTTTACGCCATAAGGTATGATTTTCTGTGTTTATATGATGATCAACTCGTACATCTGTGTGTGCCCCCCCCCCCAGTGGCACAGCGATATGTCTTCGGACATACAACGCTAGAAACCGGGTTTCAATACCCGTGATGGGCAAAGCACTATATATTTACAAACAAACATAAACCTGATTTTTTTCAATATTACTTGTACCCCAGTGACACAGTGGTAAGTCTGAAAGCTTATAACGCCGAAGTGGGCACAACACAGATAGCCCATTGTGTAGCCTTGCGCTTAACTACAAACAAAATCAACATTACTCTGGTGTTCTTTAAATTCCTAGTCTTGGCAGCACAAGAATACTGAATCTTGTAAACACTACGTTATTAAAAACAGCGGGTCTTTAAGTGATGGTAAACAGTCTTTAATTTTAAGGGTGGTGAATAAACAGTTTTTATTTGAATATATGGCGAAAACAATTACTTAGTTTTGTAGTGGCACCGGGTACATATGTCAAATAACTTTATATTTGACTTGGACTAATACGACTATTTCTGTCTTTTTAAAACCATTAGCGAGTTCTTGCATTTCTTCAAAACACGTGAATTACTTTATCATTATACTCCTATGTTCCCAATATTTTTAATATTACTTTCCTCATTGCAGTAATAATAATAATCAGAACAAATTTTAAGAGCTCTTTGAACAAAAGGAATAGAAAGCCCAACTTTTATATGAAAAAGGATAAGATTTACTTTGTGGCGGGTTTCTGGTAAACGGTAGTTCTTTACCTAAGAAAGTTAAATAAATGACACGATATCATCTTATAGTCACACAACCATCAGTGTGCCCTATAGTTATGCAAGCACAATGTATGATAATGGGCTTTACTCGTGAAAAAATGTATATAATAACACAAAGAATTCGGTATTATCATTGAAAATATAGCATTGGTCTATTGCATATCGTAAGAATAACACTAAGTACCATTACATTTGTAATTAATCTATCTTTACAACAGATGTAACTATTTCATATTTTTGTCACTTGGCTCATCCTTATGTGACAAATTGTGAACACAGTCCCGACTTTTTAGGTTAACGTGAATGTAACAGATAATTATGCTCCAGCCAGCTTACTGATTTGTTTCAAACTTTTACTGTTTCAGACTTACTTGCAAATGCTGACGAAGGTTTCTTCTACCTTGCCAAAGCAATCTGTAATTTGAACAAAATACGATAAACTACTTAGTATACTGTAAAAGTTAAATATGAACTTATCTGAGTCAAATTCCTCATTAGAAATTAATATTACAATGTTTGGTGCAGTGCTTGAAGAGGGGGAAAAGAGGAATCTGGGTGGTTTGTGAAATTTTTGAAGCTGAAAAACAAGTGGTGTGACTTTGCTTTGAAAAAAGAAAAGGGAGCCTAATCAATTTTCAATTAGGCCAACATTTATCAGCCTGAAATAGCCGCTCTAATTTTTTATAGTTTTAAGCCTACTAAAGGTAGCGGGGTGGTTTCTGGCCCTCCTGAAAATAAATGAGTTGGAATCCTTCCCCACTTCAAACACTGGTTTTATACAAATCTACGTAACTCATGCAGCTTCCTGTAGCTCAACGGTAAGTCTAAGAACTTATATCACTAGAAATCAGGTTTCGATACCCGCAGTGGGAAGAGCACAGATAGCCTATTGTGTAGTTTTGTGTTTACCAACAAACAAAAACCACCATACATACAAATTTTAAATTGAACTTCGATATTTGTGAAAGTTATTTTATATAACTCTTCTAAATTAAAATTCAGTTTTTTCTGTCGACTAACGGGCAATTGGAATTTCCACAGAAAATATTCGTAAATTAAGATGGAATTATGAGCTCAAATAAGCTTGTACTTTTTAAAAGCTGAAACATTACAGAAGAAAAGTCCTTCTTTAACAGCAAGGTAATATATGTTTAATCAATCTTAGTACAAGTTATCGAGGCTCTAAATAAATTCCAAGAAACCCTTGCTCTATATTCCCAGTTCAGAGTCTAAACTCTCTAAATAAAAGTAAACTCGCATATAATAACTTGAATGGTTGGTTAAGAAGTAAGTTTGTAGTGATACTGGATTTATGGCAGGTTGTTGTTGTTTTTCCTAGTGAGTTACACAATGGACTACTGCATTCTGTTCAACGCAGAGGATCGAATCCCGGATTTTTGCATTGTGTGTCTGCAAATTTATCGCTGACCCACAAAAGGAAATCTCTGACAAGAGTGGAATATCACTATACATATATATCAATGATTATTATTGTAAAATATAATAGCACTATACCAGTCTTTTTTTTGCCGTTTTTTATTATTTTACATGTTTAAAATGACGTCTATTACAGTAGTTTTTTTGAGATTTTGTGTTAAAATATCATACCGCCCCTTTCTTCATTTATTATTTCTTAAAGCTAAATATTCTCTTTAATTTTGGAATTATAATAACTTTAATACTATGTAAATCTGTAAAAGGAAACCATGACAAACGTAGGTATCAAGTTGGTTAAATTGATACATTATTAAAGCAAGTGGTTTCTATTCTACACCTAGACTTGATACTAAAACATAAGAAATAAAACAATAATAAACTATCATACAGAAACAATACAAATATTGCTTAAGTATATATAAATACACATAGCACAAAAATTTAATAGTCTAGGGTAGCAAAAAATAAAGTTTAAATAATTACTCTAACAATTAACAATAAGATAGTTCCATTCATTAGAATATACAGAAGGTTGGTTACGATATATTAAAAAATTTAAATATTCAACTCAGCAAATCATGTGACAACCACAGCTGATATAAAGTCGCGGTAGAAAGACATGTATCAAAATTACATTTTAACATTGGCGTTTTGTTGGTAGTGTGATGTCACCGAAAACTGATTGCTTTGAAAAGGATATGTAACAGCCCCTTCCGGCGCAAAATATTCATACATTCGGATCATAAATGTGTGTCTAGGCTGGAGACATAGAACTTCAAGACGGAGATAGTCCTTATACTTAATGGCATGGAAAAGGAAATGTAGATCAACTACGTACACAAAGCCCATCCCAAAAAAGAGACTTGCAACAAATCGTACCTTAGCTGAGCCGCGATATGCAAAGTGCAACGTTTTTCAACAGGCGAGAATTTATGAACATGTAGATCAGTGACAAAAGCTCTCCACGTGCACCAGACAACAGCACGTAGCATAATCAAGAAGGATCTACGTCTGGAAAAGTGACACAAGTTGTTACAACTCCACAGTTGTTTAACAGTCGCATACCTCAAGCAGCTAGAAGATAAAACGGGTGTCATGCTCTTCCATCCAAAGATAAAAAGAGTCTATAAAGCGCCTATAAATTACAGTGTGATCGAATAGTTGAAATGGGCATAGAGAAACCGTCGTCCTCGTACACTAGATGGCTTGTGAAAAGCAGTCATTGAGGATAGGTGTGCTTTGAATATGACAGTCTTACGATAAAGCCTTTTTCCAATGGAAACAATGCTGCAGGTTTATTGTCAATATTCGCGGTTGTTAGACAGAGTACACCCGGACGTGGCGATACATAAAAACCGTTTTCATATAACGTACTCAACCCTTGTAGTGTACAAGCTCATTCAGTTAATGTGTTATAATAATTTTTGTCTCAATGTTTTCTTACTTGTTTACCTATTTCTTTGTTATGTAATATGTTCAGTTTACTCCTTGTTGAAGTATTAACTATCTAATGTGGATTGATGGACTTTACAAGGCTTTCAAATCCCCCCCCAATTTTGACAGTGTTGGCAACTTTGCGGATTATCCATTAAATCTATCAAAGTTGTAACACCCTCTAGTGGTCATATAAATACGTTTAAACCATGTACGGTTTAGTGTGTGATAAAAAAAATAAATTAAAAGCAATATGGAAATTTATAAAACAGAATTTGCTGTACATAAGAATAAATCTCCAGGATTAGCAAATGCAGGAGTTTATTTGAGAGGTCACCTATTTTAACCACTCGCACCACTTACCATAGTGTGTTGTCAGTCAGTCAGTAGACACTAAAATGACATCACATAAGGGACGCTTAACGTTGCAATTGGTACTGCCATGAATCACAAAAAGAATTATGCACTCTGTAGGCTACAACACAGCATAATATATGAACTTCAAAAGAAAGAATACAAATATTTGTTACTCTTAATTTTGGTTTTATTTACTCTTGAAACAGAACACTTTAATGGACCCTGTAGAAGTACATCTAGTTATAGCTATTATTAGTCGTTCATAAATAAAACAGGAAAGATTAATACAAAAATGAATCCGACCCTCCCAGATCCACTGTCGGATTTAAATACCGACAAAACGAAAAGAAAGGAGTCATTCGTAAAGTGTAATGGGTTTTAAAGTGTGTTGTTTTTTCTAGGGGGATGGTAGTAATACTGAATTTTGATGATTTATTTGATTCATGTGTAGGATGCAATAACAAACAAATAATAATAATCGTTTCGATATTACCATTATATACTTGATTTTCTATAATCTAATGAGAGCCGTTATTTCTTCTGGTTTCAACCTTTGCAAAGCAACTAGCCGTTTTTCTTGTTCTTACATTTATCTTTTTTTAAATGTAATACAGAAATAGTTATCTGAAAATGTTTGTAGCTATTCACTGTTTAATAATTTTATGTGTCGAAAATATACATTTTCCAATGCTATCAAACCTTATCCCTAAATGAAAAATACACTCGTGACTCGACGTAGTACAGAAAGCGTAATAAACTATCATGAAATTCAGAAGCTAACCAACTAGGTCACGGCTACATAGGTGACTTGAAGTTTTAAATCTGTCATCATTTGTTGTTCTTACCTTTGGTGATACTCCAAACAACACTGTTTGACGGTTGGCACTTGGGAGAAACCGTACCAGTTTTGCTGCTCGTACTCTTAAGGTTGTGCCAGGGGGGTGAGGAAGAACGACTGGACGGTGATTTCCGGACATGTTCTTTTTTAATCTTAGTTGAAAGGGAACTGGCGTCATCAGTGGTCGTTTGATCAGAAGAGCTACTAGTAAAGCTTTCGTCTTCCATTTCTCTCTAATGCAATAGAAAAATAAAACATTGTTGGTACTGTAAGTTTAAAGCCCCATATCCGCTCGTATTATACAAGTAAAAATAATACCTATTTTTTTCTTCCATTAGTAGATTAGATCAGTTACAGTTCAGAAATAAATATAATACAATCTGCTATAAAACAAACTTGAACCCAAATCCTTGATACTTTCGAATATAGACAACGAATTTTCTTTAGAAGTCGAATATGAAAAACGACTGTTATGTACTTATAATTACACGTATTTATGTTTAAAACTGCTTGTTACAAATCTGAATTCAATAAATAAGTAATTCACTGGCAATGAATAGCTGCTTACTAGATAGATGTGTTACAATGGATGAAAATTAATCTAGCTAATATAAGTACGTCTTATACTGAGAAGTTATAAATTTCACAGATCAACTTTGAAAAAGCTTCTCTCTTTTTTTATTCCAACTTTATTCATTTCATTTACTAACTTTAAAAGCATTTTCGATCGACTGTTCTCTGGTACTCTGTTTCACAAATAATCTTCTTTATAAAACATTTTGTCCAACGTACTGAATAAAAACATATTTTTTATAATGTTCACAACATGCAAAACTCACAGCTAATAAGTTTCATGTTTTAAAATGTCATGTTGTGATCCAAAGCTTTATTTTTGAAAATACTTAGAATACGTTTGAAATAATCAAATATCACTTGGCGAATCAAATGTTGCCACAGTGACACAATATATTATATAGATACTTTATATCACTAAACCAATGAACCGAGCAAATGTAATGTCTTATAATCTGTAAAAATACAAAACCCCCAGAAATATTTCACTTTTCCTGTACCTTAAAAACTTGTGTGAAATTATACTATGTTCTTAAAACTTACTTACGATTTTTCTTCTCTTTTTAACGTATGTAAGATTGAGTTTGTTAGTCAACAAATGTATCACCTACAAATGTCTTATCAACAAGTCATTTTTATATTTTCAATGCTTTTCACACTCCGTAGTAGTATATGGTGAACTAAAATATAATAACTTATAGAAGCAGAAATAGAAAGTCATACAGTAAGTTCATCTGTGTTTATATTTTACGCTAACTTAATATGCGAATTCATAAACAGTTAAAATAATCTGAATCTAAAAGGCAAGCAACGACTGAATGAGGAGACAAATGTGCATGAAAAAAGATCAAACATTTGGTGCTGAATCATTCTGAATTGAGAATGGAAACGTGCATGCGATTATAAAAGAATACACGGATAAAACTAAATAACTGAAAACTAAGAAGGTTGTGTAGACAGAAGAAAAAACTGCAGTATGTTTAAAGCACCTACCGGAAGTATGACAGAGGTGTTTTCACTTTCACTGTCATCTGGTTGACAGAGTTCCTGATAAGCAATGCAATGAATTAAACATCCATATTTGTTCAGAAGCCCTGCCACTCTAACAATGCTTAGTTATTCGAATTATTATAATTCTTATGACAAATACACACTTTTATCTTTGTTCTTTCTTTTTTAACCAATTTTAAACGTGATGACTCAACAAAATTTACATGTTTACGTACCTCACATGACGCTTTTTTCCAAATTTTGTATATCAACCGGTAGGAGGCATCTCTGGACAGTAGCGACCCAAAAACATACTAAGAAAAAAATGTTGGTTATAAAACATAAAATGCCTTGTTAGCCAATGCATATTTTTTGACACTAATCTGTATTACTTTAATTTCTGTTTTAGGTATATAGACATGAATATTTTAACACTCTCTGAAAGGATACATACATGCATAAAAAGTGTAAATAAGTGTTATGTGTGCTTTCCAGTATACGACTTTCGGCCGCATTAAACGTATAATATCTGGTTTAATAAAATGCTAACATAATGCACAAGTTTTTGGTTTGGTTTGTATTAAATTTCGTGCAAAGCTACTTGAGTGCGATCTGCGCTAGCCGTCCCTGATTTAGCAGTGACAGACTATAGGGAAAGCAGTTAGCCAACACCACTCACCGCCAACTCTTGGGTACTCTCTTACTAACGACTATCTTGAGATTGACCATCACGTAATATCACCCCCACGTCTGAAATGGCGAGTACGTTCGCTGACGGGGATTCGAACCAGCAACCCGCAAATTGTGAGTCAAGTCCCCTAATCATCAGGCGGAGAAGTTTTTGAAAGAGTGGGTTATACCGAGAGCTTGAAATATTCGATATGTTTTAGGCATAAATTATCATCATGACAACAGCACAGTTTTCTGAAAGCAGAGTATAACAATGTTTATCATTGAATTGTTAGGGACGATTTTAGAGTTTATAAAAAGTAAAAGAAACTCTTCATGTAACGCCTCCACTTGCATAAAATGGAGCAATAAGAACGTGCACTGTGCAAAGGCTCCTGCTTTGTTAAAAACTATATGACAATTAATCTATCTCCAGCAAAATTTACTATGATTAACACTGACGCTTCAGTATAAACAGGCCTTGTCCAAGGACTCTTACTTTTTATTTTTAACTTGATTTCTTCTATATTTCGCCTAAATCATACTACGTCTGTCGTATCCCAGCCGGCCTGATGAGCTCTGGTATCGGGCAAAAGGCTTCTTCGGCACTGGATATGACAGTTGTAGTGTGGTTGACATTCTCCTTTGTTTTCACTCATGACTTCTTAGTGTAACTCTTTACAAGTACTATATGTACAAGATGAAATAATGATATTTCATTTTCTTGTTTCAACACACACGTACAAAAATTGTTTGTTTTTACGTTAAGCACAAAGCTACACAATGGGCTATCTGTGCTCTGCCCACCACAGGTATCGAAACCCGGATTCTAGCGTTGTAAGTCCGCAGACATACCGCTGTGCTGCTGGGGGGGGGGGGCGTACAAAAATTACCAAGCAATACATACGTTTTACGCAGGAAAATAAAAGCTTTTTTCTGTAACACTAATTCACTTGCAACTTAAGAGTTGACAGTAACGAAATTATAAGGTGTTAGGCATCGTGTCATCGTTCAAATAAACAATATTATGAAATATTATGTAATTATAACAGAATTACTAATACAGGGATTTACATAAAGTACATATAATAAATAAGTACCAACCTTTTCATCATGTGTTGTTATACCAATGGCGTTGGGTATTATTTTGGCTACACGTTCTTTGGTAATTTTTGTCACACTTCCCACAGGTATCAAGAACTAAAATAAGCAACACAATGAAACTAAATCAATAGTGAAGTAACAACTAACTGAAATAATCAGTCTCTAATGTTACACAATCAGAGTATAAAATCACACGAGAATGAAGGTGAAGCCTCGTTGTTTTTTAAATTATTAATTAATTTCAACTTCATAAAAAATTGCATGATTTTTTAAACTGCTTACAATACTTAAAATGATAATTTGATGGAAAAAAAAAGCTTTGGCTTACACAGATAAGTTTAAATATTTTTTATGTCTTAGACAAAATATGAAGCAAACAAATCCATATCAGAAGAAAAACCGTTACGTTTATCAATGATATATGTATTACATATCCGTTTTTTTTTACTAAAATGTTAAAACCTCCATTATTACAGATGGCGCTTTATCCTGTTGTTCAAAACTTATATGACTACAAGCAATCCCTAGAGCTATATTCTTATTTCGTGAAAGTCATATGTTATTGAACCGAGTGCAGAAATCGTAACCATAACAGCATGCTGCTATAAACGCAAACTTTATTTGCAGAGGGGGTTCAAGAAACTCGAATCAATGTCTTGTTTAACTCCGGGACGTATTGGTGTAAATAATAACAATCATAGTAAATATAAATTAAAATCCCCAAACAAATAAATGTTGAGTATAATATTTTACAGCATAAAACAATAGGGAATCCTCAATAGCCGCAGCACCTGAAATTCTTTTAGGTAAGATTAGGGTGAATTCATCTGTAAGACCTTTCCCCCCTCTTTATTAGCTATATTTTGAGCGCCAGCAATACCAAGCTTGGGGCGCGCGTACACCTGATTCAATTTTATTACACATCAGGATCTCTACCAGCCTACCCTCAAACTGAAGTTCTTTTAGGCAGAATTAGAGTAAATTAATCTATGAGACATTGGGCGTTGTCAAATACATCAATCGAAAGGATTTGACCTCCAGAGTTCAAAAATGTAATTAGATCTCAAATCGGTCAAGAGATGACGGAGCTATGCGCTAAAAGTTTGTATTTGTTAAAAAAAAAATAAAACTCCGCCATTTTATGAGTCGCCATGCCGCGGTTAAAATTATTCTTCTAAGTATCACTATCCGTGGTTCACTATTAATATTCACCCCTTACTACTACTACTAAGGCTAACAGTTCCGGATGTTTATATATTTAATCAATAACGCACCGAAAATATTTAAAATATATATATATACAACTCATAAGGCTTTTATTTACATAAATGCTTTTATTATAAAATATTTAAATTCAGTACTTCAAATTACCTGTAACCCTGACTTATCAGCTGCTTATCGAGTAATTCCGAGTAAGTTATTACCTGTAATCGTGACTTATCAGCTGCTTATCGAGTAGTTCCGAGTAAGTTATTACCTGTAACAGTGACTTATCAGCTGCTTATCGAGTAGTTCCGAGTGAGTTATTACCTGTAACCGTGACTTATCAGCTGCTTATCGAGTAGTTCCGAGTAAGTTATTACCTGTAACCGTGACTTATCAGCTGCTTATCGAGTAGTTCCGAGTAAGTTATCACTTTTCCAATTCGATTCAATGTTTGTAAATAATCGCGATTACAATTATTCTAATTAGGTAATTAAAATCCATATGCAAAAAGAGATACGGTAATAAAAAAAACGAATAAATAAATAACACACAAACGTGATCTATTCATTTATTGTTTTGTAGTACACAATGCAAGCAAGCATCTGAGAGGAATCAGGTTCTTTCCATACTTCTTCCTCCTGCACAATGCAACATTCGGAAGGTTTGTTTGTTTTCAATTTAGCGCAAAGCTACACGAGGGCTATCTGAGCTAGTGTCCCTAAACTAGAGGGAAGATAGATAATCAACATCACCCACTGCTAACTCTTGGGCTACTCCTTTACCAACGAACAGTAGGATTGACCATAACAATTATAACGCCCTCACGGCTAAAAGGGCGAGCATATTCGGATTCGAACCCGCAGATTGGAATTGAGCGCTCCAATCACCATATTGGGAAATAATAGAAGGTTTGTTGTTTGTTTGTGTGTAAGCCCCGTAGGTGTAGAATAAAATAATAACAAGAACAGTGGCTCCGAGTGCTTCTCGATAAGTGAATACACAAATAGCACCGAGTTTTTATGTACTAATCGAATCAAGAAATACGTATTAAGCAATCGAATAAACTAGATTTTGATCTTAAAAATAGAAATTTCGACTAAACAATCAACACTATAATCGATAGAATTTCATAACGTTTTAATGTTAACAGAGTAATTTTGCACAAAACCATGAGGGAAAACAACTAAAGATAATATAGTAAGAAACTATTTACTGTCGGAGAAAATGTTTTCACTACGTTAAAAACAAATATTCCCCATTAAGTTTGTTTTGTATTGGCAACGTAGTGTTTCAACAACATAATTTATGGCTAAGTATTAGAAATTAAAATGGAATATTTTGCCCAATAATAAATTAAAATCTCGCCGAAGTTTCAACGAAGCTTCATGAAAAAACAACGAGAAGAATTCGTTGTTTACATATAATGACGTCTCCTGCTGCAAATACTCGCAAGAATCATGACGATTCCCTCAAGACACAATGACGTCAACATTAGCTCAACACAAAGAAGAGACGGTTCCCGGGAACTGTTTGTTTAAACATTACATATTACACAATAGAGACTCGTGAATTCCCTGGAATTGTTTATTAAACACAAGACTGGACAAATGTCATACGTGCTAAGTAACGAAACAGTTTTTTTTTATAATCCTAGATTATAAATTAATAATTATATATATTAT